GACAAGGATCTCCTTGAAGCTTCGCGGGTCGTAGAAAAAATTGCCATCCCTAAAAAAAATGTTAGTGTTTTGTTGGCAAAAACCCACAAATTGCCCTTCAACTTTTTGAGTGTGTGAAACTTTACCCCTCACCTTACAATTTGTGATTTGATACCCTCCTAGTATTCGAGTTTATGATAATGAGGCAATATTTAATGTTGAAGGGCTATGTGCAGCACATGCGCTATTAATTTTCATCATACATGTACAGGTCAATGACACGTGAGCCTTTGTTTACACACTGGGTGTCTAGCTTGGATTTCTTGTTAAAGGGAAATATACTGCCAAACAATTTAATTGTGGGCCCTACTCTTTGACTTTAACTTATGAGTTGAAAAAAAAAAAAAAAGGAAAGTCAAATGAGATACAAACAAACCATCTGACTCTTATCATTCTGATCGAGAAAGATCTTTTAGAAGAACCCAACCAAAGGACAGAACTTTAATCCCTGCACCAACCAAAAGAATCTAGGTTAAAGTTATTGAACTGTATAAGACCACAACACACGAACAACTCAGACAATGCTCTTGGTCTGATTGTTAGGTATGTTTATTTATTCTAAGACATTCCTGTTTACTTTTGAGGTGGTATTGTTAATGGGTGTGATAGATTTGAGTTGGATTAACTATTTAATTAAAATTGAGGGTTTAATTAGGATTAAAATACTTTATATATTGTAAAGCACTATCTGTGATTATGGTTTTCGAGTAAAAAATGTTTTAAGGTTTCAGTGATTTAGTAAATAATCAAAGAAAGCTATAAGTTTTGTTTCCAATTTTGCTTTACATGTTAGTTTAGAATCCAATTTCATCCCATGACTGTGCAATTACTGTTAAGAGTTTTCAAGATTAAAAATTGTGCAATTAATTTGAATTAGTTATTTCTAAATCTATAAATTTATAATTAATAACTTAATTGATAAATTTAATACTTAAATGTGTACTAATTTATAATATATTTTTCTCTTATGACAGTCATGGGAACATTGAGAATTCACCATGTTGGCAATTTTTGCATGAGTAGTAATGACGATCTTAAGTATGTTGGAGGTGAAGTACATGATGAGGATATTGAATATCATCGAGTAACTTTGTTATATATAGAAGAAAGGGTAAAAAGTATTGGATATGTGTATTTTAAATATTTGTATTACAAAGATCTTTAGGTTGCAAAGTTTGGTGATGCATTAAAAGGTATAGCTGGCCAAGTGGAATTTCATCACATGTGTTACCTCTTGAATGAAAGGTCAGTTATAGATGTGTAAGTGGAGCACATATGTGATGAATCAAACTTTTATATATGCTTGAAGGTGGCAGTATTCCATGTCATGCAGTTGATGAAACTAATGATAGTGTTGTGAATAAGGAAGTAGTAATTGAAGGTCTAGAGGTGGAGGGTCCACAGGGAGGCAATAAGATTGATGTAGATGGGGACATTGGGGATGGCTGTGTCACACAAATTCACAATCGACCCCAAAGGAACAGAATGTAGCTCATGAAATAGATGCAACAGAGAAACAAGTTCTAAAGGAGACTAATTGTGATGATGATGAATTCTTTGATGTTGTAGATAGTGAGAGAGATGTTCGTGATGAGGAGGAGGTTCATGACGATGAGGAGAAGGTTCATGATGATGAGGAGAAGGTTCATGATGATGAGGAGAAGGTTCATGATGAGGAAGAGGAGGTCCATGATGATGATGAATTCCTTGATGCTTTAGACAGTGATGCGAATGATGAAGAGGTGGTTAAAGCCATTAGAAAAGTAAGGGAGATTATAGGAAATCAAAAAAAGAGTAGAGCCAGTACAATAAACAATGCAAATGGTGATGGTGCTAGGCCAAGTAACATAGTTCATGAGCCCCAAAACAAAGATAGTGAAGAGGATGAAAGGGTTCCTGTTGAAAATGATAGTGACAGAGATGATAGTTTTGATTTTACATCCCTAAACAGTGAAAAAGAATGTGAGATTTGTAGTGATGATTTGTGTGAATATAGTGATGAGGAAAATGAAGAGAAAGATGAATTCACTATCCATGCAGATACAAGAACTAGAAGAAGTGCTGATGGTGGTTTAACCCTTCATGAACTGATGTTTGGTTTGAGGTAGGAATGAAGTTTGAGCATGCATCACAGTTCAAGGAGGCTCTAGCTAAGTACTAAATCCAAAAGGGTTGCAAGTTGAAAACTGTGAAAAGTGACCTTAGTAAGCATAGAATTGAGTGTGGTGATCCACAATGCAATTGGAAAATCTTAGTCAGTTATGATAAAAATGACAAGTGTTTCAAGATGAAAACATATTACAATGAACACACATGCTTTAAGAGTTTAAAATTTTGACATGATTAGGTTAAGGATTCTTGCAGAACACCACAGGAACAGAATTGTTGCAAATCCACACATCTAAATCAGTAAGTTAGTTAGACTTACACATTTAGAATTAGGGGTTAATGCCTCGAGGGATAAGTGTAGATTGGTAAAGGCTAAGATTTTGAAGGAGATGAAGGAAACTTGCATAAAAGAATTTGCACAATTGAGAGGGTATGTCAAAGAACTACTGAGGTTGTCACCTAAGTCAAATGTGCAAATTAATATTGAGCTAGTTATAACTCCAAAAGGAAAGCCACAGTTTAAATGAATTTATGTCTTCTTATAAGGATGTAAAAAGGGTTTTGTACTGGGTTGTAGACCAATAATTGGAGTACATGCTTGTTTTCTTAAAGGGATGTGCAAAAGAACCCTTTTGGCAACTGTTGCAAAGGATGGAACCAATCAAATGTTCCTCATTGCATGGGCTATTGTTGATTTTGAGTGTACAAGTTCATGGACATTCTTCTTCAAATGCCTAGCAAATGATCTATCAAATCATATTGGAATAGACTTAACATTTAATTCAAACCAACATCTTGTAAGTGTAACATTTTATGTTCATTAACTTTATAACAGCTTATATTTATGTTACTTTAATCATAAATACCATGCCATTTATGTAATATTCTTTTTTAATTCATTATGACTCACTAATTATCTTTTCAAAAAAAATTAAACACAATTTGGTAGAGGTTGATTAATGCAAGACAAACAGTTTTCCCAGAGACTAGGCATAGGCTGCATAATAGGCATATATATGCTAATTGGCAAAAAAGTTTTAGAGAGAAACTATTGAGGCAAAGGTTTTGGGTTGCTGCAAGGTTAACTTTTGAGGGTGAATTCAACAAAATTATGGAAGAGATCAGAAAATTAACCGAGGCAGGTCATGAGGCCTTAAAATCATTCCATCCGAGCTATGGTGTAAGTCCTTCTTTGACACATTATGTAAATGTGATGTAGTGGACAACAACATGAGTGAGACCTTCAACAATTGGATGATGGATACTAGATTCTTACCAATCATCCAATTATTAGAATGTATAAGGGTTAAGGTTACGGTTAGGATGGTCAAAAATAGGGATGAAATCAGCAAGTGAAGAGGAGACATAACACCAAGAATTAGGAATAAATTAGAAGCAAACAAGATGGAAGCATCCAAATGCAGATGTGAATGGAATGGGAGGAGTCATTATGATGTTTGGCATTGGAATGATAAATTTTTTGTAGACTTGGTTAGAAACAAGTGTAGTTGTGAGCATGTGATTTAACAGGTATTCCATGTTGTCATGCCTTGTCTGCAATAAGTTTAGGAAACTTCAATCCAGATGAATTTTAGCGGTTTGGTAGCATACAACGTACCAATCATGCCTTGTAATGGTGAGCATTTTTGGGAAAAAAATCATGGTGAATCGATGGAACTATTTCCACTTAAATCCAAGCATGGAAGGCCAAAGGTGAATAGAATGAAGAGCACTGATGAAACAAAAAAGATGAAGGTGGGACACCTAGAAAAGATGACAAAGGCAGGAGTGAAAATAAGATGCTCATTATGTAAGCAACTTGGTCACAACAAGAAAGGCTGCCCAAAAAGGTTGCCCAAAAAGACCAACTAAAAGTGAAGTTAACAACTTATTAACAATTTATTATGAATAATAATTACAAAATAATGGCATTTTTTTTCTTAATCCTCAACAAGCAGCAACCAAGCAAACTGCAAAGCCAATAACAAGAAAACCTCCAACTTGTGGATATGGTAAACAAACTGGTCACACAAGAACTACATGTATTGCTAGATTTGTAGTTGATGATAATATAAGTATAGTTTGTAATTGTCAATTTTCTATGAGCTTGATAGTGTAAAATTGCTAATTATTTATGTTTATTGTTGATTAAGCAGTCCAGCCGATCTGATGGAATGGGAAGGAAGAGAAGACATAGGTTTGGTGAATATATCAATTCACCAAAATTGAACCCTGTGAGTTTTTGCTTTAACATTCAGTTGTAATGGTAATTGTTTTACTCATATTTATTTTACACTAATTAAATTAAATTTTTATAGCAAAGTGTGCAAGAAGAGACTGCCATGAGACACACACACCTCAATCAATTTCACAAGACACATCCTCCTCGAAAATCAAAGAAGCAAAGATCAAGTCAAGACTGATCATTTAGGAAGGTTTTTGTTGTTGCATGGGAGTAGAGTACTTGGGTGACAACTTGTGACAACCCGCAGTAGGTTTTTTTGTAGATATTATGTTAAAGCTACTAGAAACTAAGTGACAACCTATAGGTCTTTATTCTGTTTTGTTGGGGTTTGTATTTGGTAGGACTGTACTAGCATTTTATGATTTTGGATTGTTGGAATCTCATGCAGCTTTGGTGTAAGTGGGCAAGTTCTTTCTTTTGACTAATCTTGTGCAAATGCAACTTTGCTGGCCTTACATTAACAGTTAATGATAAAAAAAATTCCTTATTTCTGTGCCTCTTATAGACTTTACATTAATGGTATATTGCACCTATTTTGGGTTGATCATGATTTAGAACATGAGATAACAAAAAAGAAAAACAATTACAAGAATTCTAGAATTGTCATTTATTATTCATTCTATATATTACAAAATACAATGCAAAGGAGAATTCAATCAGGCCCAGGGGCAATAGTTAATAATGTTCAAAGGCATATCAACACATTGCCTAACAAAAAACAGTTAACAAAAAACAGTTATTGCCCACAGATATTGCCCACAGATATTGCCCACAGATATTGCCCACATAACACAAGTTTCCTTAGTTTCATAGCTTTTCAATCTCCAATGCTTTTCAAATCCCTCTTCCTATCAACACCCTTAACCCAAGTACTAAACAAGAAAAAGGCCAAGACAAAGGAAAGAAAAACAGTCCAAACCAAACAAATTTTGTAGCACTTCTTCCATTTCTCCAGTTTCGTAATATACACCATTGTTAATGTCACCGTCATCTGCAAGTCATTCACTTTCTCCTCTAATGCCTCAATATGTTTATCTCCATTTTCTTCATAATGCTTCACAATGCTTCACAACATCCCTAAGAGCTCTGATCCTTTCTCTTGCATCATCCAAATCATTTTCCAATTCCCTCTTACTATTGTATAGCCACAAGATAACCTCCTTAGCCTTGAAAGAGAAATCACAATCATACCATACAAAATACTTACACTGTTGTTTTCTCATCTGCAAGTATGAAAATCAAATCCCATTAACATGGAATCAAAGCCATCACTTCATATCAAACTAAACCCTAAAACCTTCAAAATTACTTAGTAAAGAAAAGCCTAAACAACACACAACACACAATTTAAAAATAGAATTTTAAGGAAAGAAATTACAATAGGATCATGTTTTAGGCATCTAAAAAACCTCTGACCAAGATTCTTCTCACTCTAGGATGTGATCCTTGGTGCCTTCAAACTACAAAAGCAAATCCGACTTTGCCCTTCATAATCATAGTCGTATCTTCCAAATTCCACGAGTGCTAAGGCTTCAGAGTTGCTTGAAGAAACCATGGAGCCAGGAAGAAAAGAAATATGTCTGAAAACGATGGATCAAAGAAGACATATTTCTTCTTTTAACCCTAAGGCTCAGTTAAATACATTTTGTATCTTGTCTAACTTTCCTTCTTCTTCTTTTTCAACTCATAAGTCAGAATTAGAGGGTGGAGCCCACAATTAAATTGTTTGGCGATATATTTCTCACTAATGAGTAGTCCAAGCTAGACTACCAACGTGTAAAAAAAAGGCTCATGTGTTGTTGACCTATACATGTATGATGAAAATTAACGGCGAACGTGGCTTCTCAACGTTAAATATTACCTCATTATCACAAACTTGAATGCTAAGATGGTATAAAATCACATATTGTATGATGAGGGATAAAGTTCCACACATTCAAAAAGTTGAAGGGCAATTTATGGGTTTTTGTCGTGTTTTGTCTTTATGTTTCCAATGATGTAAATAATCTTTTTATAATGAAAGTAAGACAATTTAAAATTAAATAGTAAGCACATAGGTAGGGTAGGATAAAAACTTAATGATTGTCTTACATTCTACAATCCCAAATAAAAAAATAAAAAATTATTGTCTTCCCATCTATGTACGATTGTTGCCAATGAAGTTTGGTTGCCACCATATACAAGGGTTTTTTTTTTTTTTTTTGAGAGGGGGTAATTTTTCATAAACAAATTTAAGAATTTTTTAATATGTATTCTTATAACACAAGTTAAGAATACAATTATTACATATTTTTATAATTAATTTATATTAAAAAAATAAAAATTAATTTAAATTTTATTAACCTTCTAATTAAATTGTTCTATATGATATTAATATTAAAAATAAAATTTAATTTCATAATTTTTTATATAAATAAATAATAATAAATACAATAAATAAATTTTTAACCTATGCCTAAAAGCACATATTAGAAAGACTCATAAATTTATCAACTTGATAAAGAATTATTGATATGTAATGAAATTAAACAAAACAGTTTCCTTTCCTAGCAATAGCACACATTACCAAAAAAATAATAATAATAAAATACTGGTAATGTTTGTACCAAATAGAACCTTCTTTTAAAACAAGTAATAATTCCTAATTTGCAGTGGAGGGGCTTTATATAAAGGTAATAATATATAAATAATTTATTTATATAATTTTTATTTACAATTTTTATATATTATTAAATAAATATAAGTATAAAATATTATAAATAATAAAAAGAATTAATTATTAAATTATAAATAAAATTATACTAAAAAATTATTCAATAAAAATTTTCTCTAAATTATTTTTCTTACATCATAAGAAACTCGAGGTTTGTTTAGAAATAATAGACATTTACCAAATTTATTTTATGTTATATGGTGTGGAACAGGAGGAAGAAATCGGGCCTAGGGAAGGATTGTGGCGGCCAGCTAAAGAGGCCCAACGCGAAGCTTCCCCTCTCCACCTTTGACCTCCACGTACGGTTGGCTGTGGCTGGATAAAAAAACATTTTAAAATTTGTCCGAATAAAATTCAGTTTTATTGTTTTAGCATGTTGTTTTTATTCTCTTATGCTCAGTATACAAAATTTTCTCAAAAGCCAAATCACAAACATTTTTCTCATTACCCTAATTAATTGAATATGAATACTTGTTTGACATTGAAATGCATCTAAATCGCCAAAGGCTGTGTCTAATTGCTAAATTTTTAAAAGTTAAAGGTTTTGTTCTAGTATTGTTATACTCCTTTTATCTCAAAATAATAATTATTTTTTATTTTTTAAAATTAAAGATTTAAAGATAATTATGTGTTTATTTATTTTACTTTTCAAAAAAAGTTAAAAGACAAAATAAGATTTTTTGTGATAGAATAATTAATTAAAATAAATAGATAATAATATAGTTAAAGTAGAAAAAATATGTATTTATTTTAAAAAATAAAAAATAATAATTAATTTGATATAAATTCAAATTAAATAATAACAATTATTTTATAACAGAAAAAGTGGTTTTAATTTTTAGTTTCTAATTTCATAACTCTTGCAACTCTAAACAAAAACTTAAATTTCCAAAGAAAATGAGGTAATTCAATTGGTGTAATTCCTTGCTGGACCAAACAAAATGAGTTAATTCCTATATACTCATGAAGGCATCAAATTTCCAAAGAGTCAAAACCGATAAACAACTACAGCTATTAGTGTTGGGTAGCATAAACCCACATTGTTAGTGAAATTGGGATAAACTTCCAGCATTCAAAAGGCATTCAAAAGGCATTCAATAGCATATATCCACAACTTTCTTACCACAAAACAAATATAATACAATGTCTAGAACTCAATCGTTTGTTACTCTTGTTGTTATCCTCTTTCATCTTGGTTTTTGTACCTTGTTTCTACTCGGAGTACATGGACGATTGTAAAAAGGGATTTAGGGTGATATGTTCTTTGGGATTTAGGCTTTCCATTTTTTGGGGCTTTCATTATGATGTTGGCTTGTTGAATTATGAATATCCGTTCTGGTATTGAGTAGGTGGGAGTTACCATAACTGTCAAAGTCTAGCTTGGTTCTTGAGCCTAGATAGAATCCTTAGTAACTTGATTCCTAGTTTTGTTGTTTACTAGTTTAATGTGCCATCGAGGATGAGAGACCCAGTGAGCTTAGATAGACAGTAGGTAAGTCTCTCTAAGGAGCAGCAGTATGATCAATTGGGGTTAAGGGACTCAATGAGTGTAGGTCCTTATGTTGAATAAATTTCGTCTAGGGTTGTTTAGTTAATTTTTGTTTTGTTTCTTGTTTTTCTTTCCGTCAAATCTTTAGTAGATGACAACAATTCCTTACCTTGGGTTCATGACTTAAGTTCTACCTGTGAGGGGAACTTATCTAATATGAATTGAAATGATATGAGCTTGTCACTTATTTAATAACTCTTCATATCAAGGTTCACAAGTTCTTAAAAGTTCAAAATTAAATAGTTAGTAGTATTTGTTCTCTATAACTATATACCCTTCACAATGCTACTCTTTTTCCCATGCATTACTAGGGCATTATAATCTCTTCAACTTAAATGCTTGATGTTATTGTCAAGCCCACTTAAATCCACTTCAAACAAAACCACAATCATGAGATCCACTTCAAGTGATGTGAGATTCTAATCGTCAAAACCCAAGCATGTATGTCATCATCATCAACTTCAAGCCTTTACTAGACCGAAGGGAACTCTTTTAATGGATCGTAATAAATACTCCTAGCCTCACACTTGCGAGAGGGAACTTCTTTGATAATAATTGAAACCACTCAAGTTGAAATCCATCATTAGCCTAAGAACTCTTCAAGCCAAAATCCATGAACCCTTAAAACCTTAAACTCAAGTTGTTAATAGCAATTGGTCTTCAAATTTATCTACCATTTATAATCATACTCTTTTTTATGTGAGATTGAGGCACTAAAATCTAAATGCTTGATGTTCTCCTCAAGTTCACTCAAAAAATTTTTTTTTTCTTTAAGCAATACCCTTAAGCAAAACCCTTATTGACAAAACATTGGAGAAGTGCTAGATATGTAAGTTAACACTTATAAATCCCTAATGACACATTTTAAAATTGAGACCTAATAGATTTAAGTAGACTATATCATTGGTGGGCTCAATTGTTACATATGAATTGTATCAAAATCACTCCTTGTGACCTCTTGAATGGTTATGAGGCAAACCTCAATGAGGACGTTGAATCCTAAAAAGAGTGATAAAGCATAGGAAAGATGCTAGGAATATAAATTAACACCCATTAATCCTAATGACTCATTATAAAACCATGAGATTCAATGGGTCAAAGAGAACTATAATGTCCTATGGGTGAAACCAGACATTATTACTAGTGAATTGGATGTTACAACAATAGAATCACCAAGTAGGATTTGTCTTAATAGTTGAAATGACACTCTTTAGAGATGGAAGGATAGTCCACTTTAAGGTAGTTTGCTTGGTAAACTAGTGCACTTTCATTAGGACTTGCCCTAAACATATGTAGGCTCTATGAGATTATTTTAATATAAATAATTTAGTACCTCCTTTGTGAAACCAATAAGAGTTTGGATTAATTGGAAGCCATTAATTTAAAAATCTTAATTTAAATCAAGATCAATGGTTTAAACCTTACAATACCGAGCATCTAATTCTTGACACACACAAAAATCATTACAACATCAACAATTTTATAAGTTGTAATCACTTGGAGGGACACATTTATCAATATGAATCCAGTTGTGTCATGTGTTGTAGAGATTTATTGTCACCAATTTTTTCAATATATTTTGAATTACATAATAAGAAATAAATTTCTTATATCTTTAAACTCAATTTATCTGCATATCATGTTATGCAACTCAAATTTAATATTTGTCAATGACTTATTATTCTTAAATTAGGGCTCCTTAATAACTTTATCATTGTTTGTTTTTTATTTTGGTTAGCAAAATTTGAACAACTGAAATTGACAATTTAAAACGAAAATTGAAATATAAATTCAAAACTTTTATTATTTACAAAATTTCAAAATTGATAACTAAAATTAAAAAATTTTAGTTATTTTACTTTTTATATTTAACTTTTGACAATAAAAAAAGGACAATGACAATATTATTAAGAGTGTTAAGCTCTATTTAATATAATTGTGAGATGAAACTGCAAAATTTTGATGCACTTCTTTTCATTCTCTAACTTAAAATAATAACTTAATTTCATTGATTTCATTTCTAGCAAAAAGAAAAAGGATTTATTTTCAAAATTAATTTAAGTTACATTTAATTTAACTTGAAATTTATTTGACAAGTTAATAATTTTATTTTTTAAATAATAAAACATAAAAATTATAAAGAAATGCGAAAAAGTAAAAATATAAAAAGACCCAAGAAAGTGAATCAGTTTGATTTTTATTGATTTTCATCAATTATTGATAGAGTTTGACCATTTTAACTATTAATAATGTGTTTAATTTGAGTGAAAGAAAAAGTCATTTAGATTATTTGAAGGAAGTAATTTATATTATT